TTTAGCCCTTTTATCGTTCCGTCTTAGAATTCTGATCTCATTGCTGGCAAAGCAGAAGCCTGGGCTGTGATAAGCCCAGAGACGTATGCTTGCCTGCTCCCTGCCCGCCCACCCACCCGCCCGCCTGCCCGCCTTCCTGCCTGTCTTTGAAAGATGCCTTTAGGCTGCTTATGTACTACTGGGTCACACCACCGAGCAGCTACCATTACAGAAAGAATCTTTTTCAAGTCAGTTTCCACCTTGGGGACACCTTCCCCCCTCCGCGCCCCCCCCCCTTTTTTTTAACACCTTCCCCAGCAAATCCAATCCATCCTCTGGCTTATCTGGGTCAGCACGGGTCTGATTTTATGCATGGCACTGTCGAACCATAAATCCGCTGCGGCTTTGCCTCTCTATCCAGCCCGTCTGCTTCTGTCAGCATCAGCAAAATGCATAATAGAGAAAATAAGCCAGAAAGGCTAATAACACTCATCTGAATAAAATAATCTCTTAGGCTGCGTCCCTTCACTTCATTTTAATCAAGGCGCCAGGAAGGAATTTAGGTTTACAAATCCAGCCTGGGCCTTGTCACTAGTTCCCTGTCCAACCATCACTAACGGATTGCTTTTATCATGTATGTATCTTCTTCTTGTCCTCCTTATGGTTGGATGCTCAATATGCTGAATGGTGCCTTTAGCTCACTTTTATTTTATCTATCGTCACATATATGTGTCTATTTTTTAAAGTGAGAAGCGATATTCTTAGATGTATTAGTACTAATATTTGCCATCTCTGTATGCAGACCAGCAGTTTTGAAAGGAATTCTGGGAAAGGGGGTTCAGCAGAAGTTGCTGAAGCATGGGGTACTGGCTCCCTGGACTCCCTCTGGCTCCTTTCTCTGGCCCTTCGTTCAGTCCCTGTGCGGAATACAGGGCTGAGCAGTCCCACCTCAGGGGAAGGACAGTGGAAGATTAGATTCTGCTCTCCCATTCGTATCTCCCTCATGTCTTCCCGGAGACCACAGCTGCCTGGTTAATTGCCTGTTGCTGCTGTCTTCTCCTGAACGTTATTTGCCGAGGGCTGTTCGTTTTCAGCAGCACTCTTGGCCTTGGCCCAGGGCCGGGTGAGGAGCCTGTTGGAAGATGATGAAAGCTGAGTCCTTGTTTGTTTGGAAATAAAAGTAATAATATTTTTTTCACATTTGTATAGTGTTTTACTGTTGATATCATTCTTTTGCACCCACCATCTCATTGGAGCCACACAACAGACCTGTGAGATGGGCAAGTCAGGTAGACACTGTTGGCCCGAAAGGAAATATTCTTCACTAGAGCAATACAGAAGCTCAAGCCACTCCGTGGTGCCAAGCTTGTGTCACACAGCCCATCTGCAGAGCTATCAACATAGCGATTATTAATTAAATGGCACCTTAGGCCAGCAGAGCTTCCGGGGTTTTACAGTCCTGCTTTGAAGATCTTCAGGGAGCTAGATGTACGCAGATAGGGATGTGTCCATTTTATAGATGAAACCGAACAGAGGGAAGCACACACACACACACACACACACACACACACAAAAAGCAAGTGTAATACAAGCCAACTTGGACGTTTATGGAGATCTTCCCCCTAGATATTTGAGAGAAATCCCTTTGAGCATTTGTTGCCAAGTGTGTTGAACATCCATAAATAATCTAAGTTGAAGAGGAAAACTGGGTTAATGTATTTGAAGCTAATGAGTGAGCTGTGCAGGTTTATTCCTTCCAGCTCATGCATAGTCGGCTTGTGACTTTCTGGCCTCCTTTGTTTGGACTCCAGAGTCATCTCCTCACAAGTACAGTTTGATGCCTTTTTGATCTTCCTCCTAAAAAAAATTTTTTTTAAGTAAGAAAAACACTTCTGGATATTTTGTCTGCTTTTTAGGGATTAGTGTTTGAGGAGGTTTGCAGCTGTTCAGCACATTCCTAAGGGATGTAGACCTTTTCCTTTAAATGCCCAAGTATTACACAGCCTAAGACTCTGGGGGCGGGGAAAGTAAAGACACTGTACAAACAAATGATAGATGGAAAAGATATAAAGGCAAATTTCAATCTCCTAACCAAACCCAGTTCCCCTGGCTCCAGCAGCCCCAAATAAAAGAAGGCTGCAAAGCTGTGAAAGCAGGAAACCACTCTAGCAGAACCTTAATAGGCTCCCCATGAAATCACGTCTTGGGGCCTCGCTTACTTTCCAGCCTGAAGTGTGTTTCATCTTTGTTCGTGTTGGCTGGGAAAATTGTCTCTACAGGGTGTTTGTGTTTCTTCTACAGTGAGCCTTTCCCCTCTCCTGCCCCACCACCTTCCCAAAATAAATAAATGAATTAATTAAAACACCTCAGTTGAAGAGGAATCTAGTCTGAAAAACCATACAAACTCAAAAGAACCAAATACATTATATGAGAAACTGAGTATGAGTAAAAGAGATGAGAACCCCTAAAAGAAAACAGTGTCTAATACTGTGTTTTAAAGCCACGGGTTCCTTTTTAAAAATAAAAATCTTGCATAAGCCCCCATATATGCAACCCATTTACTAGTGTAAATCTTTTAAATCTAAAGCACTTATTATAGAGTTAGTCAGTGAGCACATCAGACTGTGTTTATGAACCCAAAATATTGATTGACATTGGGAATATGAATCAGAGTTGTAGTTTTATGTCAATTTCAGCATCCAAGTTATTTCTGGTTCTGATTTGGATTGCCAGTATCAAGAAACTACTGATTAACACAATTGAGTTGTTTGAAATAGTTTAAAATTGATTTAGATGCTTGAAAATGATATTTTTGTTTTAATTAATATTATCTATTAGCTATTCTCACTCACCTTCATAAATATTAACTGAATAAAAAAAAATGTATAAGAAACATTGCAATTGATAATGAGATAGGATGATAATGAGCATGACTATTCTCAGTACCCAACCATGGTCTGTATTATAGACTCTATAACATGGGCTCCTGAGCCTTCTATGGCATGTAGTTAAACTTGACCACTATGTATGAAGTCATATGCTTACCCAAACAATTTAACTGAAGGTGGCACTCAGGCTGGAATTGAAAGCTATTAGTACAGAGCAACATCCATTCTAACCAATAAACACATTTCTCAGAAGTTCAGATACATGCATTGATAATTTATTCCCAAGATTGTATAGAATGAAGTTCACCTGGCAGCCCATGAGACACTGTGATGATGCCTATTGCAGGGAAACTGGCAAGGTTTTTTGTCAGTAATTACCTCATAACAGAATTGGGAAAGCCCTTCTAAGTTGGATTCCATACTTTACAAATCATAGGTGCCTGGCACCCTCCAGCCCTGAATGGAGGCAGTGCTGACTACCGTATTTTTCGGACCATAAGACGCACCAGTTTTTAGAGAAGGGAAATGAAGAAAAAAAGATTCTGAAACAAATAGTGTCCTAAAATATTTTATGTGCATTAAAACCCAACATCACAGTCATAAACACATGTAATCAACCCTGTAAAGTAAACAGCAGCATTTAGAACCATTTTAGAGCCGGGCAAGCACACAGAGACCACACAGAGCCGGGCAAGTAAAAAAACTTTTTTTTTTAAAGTATATGTGTAGGCTATATTTGGACCATAAGACCCAGGGACTTTTCCCCCCCACTTCTGGGGGAAAAAAAGTGCGTCTTATGGTCCGAAAAATACGGTAAGTCAAACCACACTCAAGCCATTTTCTTTGCTCTGAGAGTTTGACTGGAGGGAGCGGTAAGGGGAATAAACAGAAAAATGATTCTTTGTCATGGGTAAGCATTTTCTCTTTGCAATTATAAGGCTTTGTTTTTAATTTTAGAATTGCCACTTCTTCGCTATGTAACTTTGACCAAGTTATTTAACCTGTCTTAACCCAAACTTTCCTCTTCTGCTGAATGCAATTGATAACACCCATTTCATCAGATTGTTGTGGGGGTAAAGTTATATCAGCCATGGGGCCCAGCTATGTGCTAAATACATAATAACCCTGTGATAAATAGGACCGCAAGCAACCCCTACTTTCTGTTTTCCTCCTTAAAGAGATCTAACTTGCAGATGCAGAACTTTTGTTGCTTAAATTACTGCTGTAAACTGAGTAGAAAATAATTCTTTTAGATCATAATGCTTTCATTAGAAACGAGCATCTAGGTTTGGCACTATACTGTTCTACTCAGGCTGTAAAAGTTGTAGGAATTACATGTGTTCTGGGAATGATTGTGCTCTAGGGTGTATGGGACATGATATAATAATAGCTCAATCAGTGAAACCAAAGCATCCTTAGATGTGTTCGATGGAACTGAACAGTTTTTAGTGACTTTTTCATGGCAGCTGCCTCTAATGTTGTATTCATGGAATTCTGCAATAGGTAAGTGTGTGGGCGTTTAGTCTGTATTGCTCTAATGATTTTGTCTCTAGACAAAATCTCTTTTTGTCTCTAACCCTAGATGCATACCAGATGATTTAATGGCCAAGGGAATGGCATTGGCGTGAGACAGCCTAGAGCTTTTTCTAGTCAAACAACACAGAATTGTGGTTCTAGTTCCTGACTTCATCTTATTTACTAACTGCATGATTCCTTCTTACTACCTAGCTGTGGATAAGTTTTCTACTCAGTAAAATGGAGATAATGGTAGTGTTTGTTTTTTTGTTTGTTTGTTTTTTTTACAATGAAATGATGGAGCTTAGGTGAAATAATGCACATAAAACAGTCTCCCAAGTTCCTAGAACGTAGTAGGTGTTCAACAGATAATCTTGCTTCTCCTCCTCCTTCTCTTCTTTCCTCTTCCTTCCCTCTCTTTATCATTATCCTCATTTTCTCCCTTTCTCCATTGAGTTGTTAGAAAAAGAACACTAGAAGTGCAGAGTGCAGGAAAAATAACGTTATTTCTGTCTTGGCTTTGATCACTGTCATTTTGTGATGTGGACTGTAGTCACAGATGTTGGTCCTGATTGCTTACTAACAGTGATTTTTTTTTTCCTTGCTGTTTCTCTGCAGGAAGGATCAGAATGTTCTCTCTCCAGTCAACTGCTGGAATCTCCTCTTAAACCAGGTGAAGCGGGAGAGCAGGGACCACACTACCCTGAGTGACATCTACCTGAATAACATCATTCCTCGATTTGTTCAAGTCAGCGAGGACTCAGGAAGACTCTTTAAAAAGGTATGTAGCTGTTTCTAGTCGTAAGATACTTGGGTGGAGCAATGACACAGTTTTGTAAATAAGAGAAAGAATATCTTATTGTCCCACATATTAGGCTTGAAATTGATCATTCCATATCATACACTCATGGAGGCAGAATATTAAATTGATATTCTTTTCTTTCTTTCTGAGCTGAATTAATAGTTGATCCAGGAAAGTAAGCATGTGCCAGGAATAACCCCAGGATTGGGAGCATAATTCATAATCTGATGTATTAATTATAGTTAGTCGATTTTCATACGTGACTTGTGAAGCTGTTAAGATTCAGGAACCTTTTGTTTTCATTTCATGCTTTTTTCCTTTTCTTCTAGTCCATTTAGCAAATTCATATATTTATATTTTTGGTTTATTTCTCTTTCTAAGTTCTTATCCAAGGGGAACTTATGAATTTGGCTATTCTTATCATGACATATTTTCTTTAATTTCTGAATGCTTTATGAAGCTCATTTGTTTGTCATAATACCTTGGGAATAAGTTAAAAAAAATTGACCAAGGAAAGACTCCAAAATAATTGTGGTAATCTTAAGAAATTTATGGCAACTTCACCTCACCTGTCAGTAGTGGAACTATCCTCTTGGAAAGCCAGAAACTTTTTTTCTTAGCTCTCTCAACCTGAACTCTCAATGGAGTCATTTATTCATGAATTTTGGTAACAAATGGTGGCAAAGGCCCCAAACATTGTATCAGTACATGACATACCATGTCTAACACTGAGGTCTGAGACCCACAGAAGATATTTCAGAAAGCAAATAATCTTATCACAAGTTATAGGTGTAAAGAATTTATATAGGGCTTTTGTATTATTATTATTATTATTATTATTATTATTATTATTATTTTGTATATGAAATTCATTGGTTTCCAGTTGACAAAATTTGGTGTTAAAATTTGAGGCTGGGAGAGAAAGGATTTCAGTCAACAGCACTGTGGGGAGCAATAGCTCTTGGTTTTCCAATTTTTGTTGTTGTTAATTCTCCACCAGGGATATATTTTTTCCATTGATTTTTAGAGAGAATGGAAGAGAAGGAAGGAGGGAGAGAGGTAGAGAGAGAGAAACATCAACATGAGAGAGATACAACAAGTGGTTGCCTCCCACACACACTGCGACCAGGGCCAGGGATTGAACCTGCAACCCAGGTATGAGCCCTTGACCGGGAATTGAACCCGAGACCCTTCAGTGCATGGCCTAAAGCTCTGATCACTGAGCAACACTGGCCAGGGCAGTTTTCCAATCCTTAACATTAGGAAGTTTTTCAGATCTCAGTAGGACTGGTATTAGAACCTAAATTCTTCTGTTTAAAACAGCATGAAAAAAATTATTTAGAATCTTCCAACTACATAGTTGCATCTGTGAAGGGGCTTTCCCTGTGTTTTAGAGACAATATATTAAGGGTACAATCATTTGACAGTGAAAAGAGGTGAGAGAAAGATAACCTCCTTCAGATCCCACTGGCTATATTTAATGGCCTGCCTGTGCTGTGGTTGGGGTCATGCTTCATTTAGGGGCAAGGATACTTTTAACCATCTACTCATAGTTTTTAGCATCTCCGTAGCTTGCTTGTCATTATTGAATTATTTTGCAACAAATTGGTGATGTGTATGTATGACTAAAATGAATGACTATTATACAATAATAAAAGCATAATATGATAATTAGACCAGACAGCCTAACGACCTTCCAGACATCATTCTGTCCCGAAGCCACAGCTGAGGGGGCCAAGGCAGAGGCAATTAGGGGTGATCAGGCAAGCAGGTGATGGTTAGGAGTGATCAGGCAGGCAGGCAGAGGGGTTATGGGCGTTCAGGCAGGCAGGCAGGCAGGCAGGCAGGCGAGCAGTTAGGAGCCAGTGGTCCCAGATTGCAAGAGGGTGCAGACTGGGCTGAGAAGACCCTTCTCCTCTCTGTCCATGCACGAATTTTGTGCACCAGGCCTCTAGTAGTTGATAATACTGTATTTAATACTGGAAATAAGTTAAGAGAGTAGATTTCAGGTGCTCTTTTCACACACACAAAGGTAACTTAACTATCTGAGGAGATATGATAATTAGCCTGATTATAGAAATTACTAGAGGCCCAGGGCGGGAAATAGTGTGAGGCTCAGACCTGCCATACTGTCGCGGGACCCCAGACCCACCGTGCCACAAGACCCATCAAAGGACCTCCTGGTGATCGGTCATTTGTTATGGCGTTATAGCCACGGGTCTTTTATAATATAGATTTTATTTTATATAATAAAACCCTAATGTGCAAATCAACCAAACTGAAACAAATGGTGGCTGAATGATCTGTTGCTATGATGTAGACTGACCATTGGATAGACACTCCGATTGGTAGGTTAGCTAACTGCTGGGGTCCAGCTGATCAGGACTGGACAAGATAGGCCGGACACTCCCTGGAGCCAATCTCCCTCCCAGGCCTCTAAAGTATTTCTTCTAATTAATTTCCTTTCAGTGTGTACGAGTCCATGCACTGGGCCTCTAGTATGTTTATAAAATCATTGTTATGCACCTTTAATAGATACAATTTTTATTATAAACATTTAAAACTTATTTAGGTGGAACCTTGATAGTAGTCAGATACTACTTCAGCTCTTCCTTAAGCCCTGGACAGCCACTTAAGCTATCTTGAGAATGAAAGGCAGTGACTGATAGTTTTCTCCTCTGTTTGCAGTATTCATCTGAGAGATGGTCAGTTATTTAGATGTCACTTAATCTCTCAGCTCCCTTTTCTCCCAGCTTTAGAAGTTTAGGGGAGAACCAAGCTGAGAGTCTTATAGTCCCGTGTTTTCTCTCTCCCCTCCTCCCCCAAGATCTCAGAGATGTTTATGTTGAAGATAGCCAGTTACCAAAACCATGAATGTCCCTGGTTCCTCAGGTGCCCTTCACATTTTACTAAAGTCCTAACTGCATGGCATGTATACAAGACACTTGCCCTTTAGTAGGAAAATCCACTTGTGAATAATATTCCTGGCAATGGTCTCTGAGTTCATATACTTAAGCCTGGCAATTCTCTGCTGGGCATATAAGAAAGAATTTCTAATTACTCACATTTTATCTATAAATTACATTTCATTGAATAAAATTATACATTTAGGCTTATAACTAAATGCATTTTTATAAACAAAAAATTTGGTAACTAACTCCCAGATCAAGAAACAGAATATTTCAGTACACTAGAAGCACCGCACCCCTCCTCCATGCATCCTTCCAGTCATTAAGGAATTTTAAGGAGGAAACAAGTCCCCAAACCCAAGGATAAAAATTGTCTTAACATTGAATAGCAGATATTTGTTCTGATTGGTTTCATACTTTATATAAATAGATCCATACAGAGTGTATCTTTTCTGTCTGGTTTCTCTCATTCAACCTTTGTTTATTATTATGAGGTTTAGTCATATGGTTGTTTATAGTTGCAGATCATAGAGATTTTTATCAATTAAGACATAGATTCATTTGCCCTGGCCAGTGTGGCTCAGATGATTGGGCATTGTCCCATGCACCCAAAGTTTGCCAAATCTATTCGGGTCAGGGCATATGCCCACATTGTGGGCTCAATCCCCTATAGGGGTGCGTAGGAGGCAGCTGATGATGTTCCACTCCTCACATTGATGTTTCTCTCTCTTCCTCTCTCTCTTCATTTCTTTCTGTAAATCAATAAAAATATATATACATTTTTAAACATAGATTAATTCTGTTTTGGCTGGGTGTGAGCCTCTCTGCTTTCTAGTAATGGACACAGAAGCCTTCTCTCTCCATACCTTGATTTTTTTCATCTCTTTTGGTTAGAGTATGTTGCACATGAAGAATTAGAATCCCACTGCTTAAGACACAGTAATCAGATAAGAGACCTAAAGAATGTCCCTGGCCACCCTGTCAGCTATGTGAAGCTTCCAAGGTGTGGCTGTGCTCTCAGCTCAGAGGCCTTTTCCAAGTAACCTTTTCCCTCAGGCTAAGCTCTGCAAGTAACTCTGACACCTTGGTTGATTTCTCCTCCTTTCTGCGCCTCAGTTCCCTCGAGTTGTGTGGTTGTTTTTTAAAGAGTAAGGCTGTGTGATCTCCATGCTGCTTTTGAAGTTTAATATTCTGTAATTCTAGGATGACAAGAGTATTCTATGCTGGGGGCTTTCTTTCAGTTGTTGGTGACCTTTGTTAAATATTGATAGGTAAGTTGCAGCCCCTGAGATAAGGACAAACAAGAGTAGATGTGGGTATGGAGGGGGCTAGCTTAAGCAATTGCAGACTATATTTCTTGAGGAATGCAGCACTCAGATTCTGTTATCTATAAAGGCCAGCAACCCAGAGATGCCAAAGTAGAATGCACATGTGTAACATAGATACACCTTGTATTTTACCTGTAAATTTGGTTCCAGCAGCAAAAGAGACACCAACTTCAGAAAGAATGCCTTTATTTCTGAGTCGGCTATGAATACCTATGAAAATTCACTAATTTGAATCTGTTCATCAGTGGCGAAAAACATGGGTTATCTCCTTTTCTCTTCTTCCCCCTCCTCCTCCCTCTTTTCCTCCTCCTTCCTCTTTTTACTCTTTTTAATCTATAAAACTCGATTCACTGGCCCAGGTCAATTTCAAAAACTAACATTTTTTGAAATCTTATGTCCCAGGTACAGTGTTAAACACTTTATGTACATTATCTTTTTTAATCCTTATCATTTTTAATTCTATAAGGTAAATAGTACTATTATCCCTATTTTATGAAGGAGGAAACAGAGAGATTAAGGGGGGAAAAGGTGAAACTAGTATTTAAATTCAGATATTTGTCTCTAGAACTCAAGGTTTCTATGTATGTTACATTAGCATCTAGGTATGGTGTGCAGAGTAGATGGTGTTCCAGATTTCCTGACTCTTTTCTGTTGAATCCAGGTATTTCACTTAGTTGCAGAATTAATCTAACCTTTTCCCTTGAACACAAACCTCAAAGGGTATGGATGTGTTAAACATCAA